GGCCGAATCAGACGTTCGTTATTCTAGAATTGGCGGCCTGGCAGGACGGCGGCTGTCCGTTGACTTACTTTGTCGTGGAGTATAGGAGGCTGCCCGGGGATTGGCTGCTCGGTAAGAACTTGTAACTCTTATGGAAAGTTCAAGTCACGAAATGAAGAAGAGAAGACCGATAATTGTCGCGTGACGTTGATCATGCTGAATTAATTCTAAAATCGATATCTAGAAAATTTCGTGAGAAATGGTGACAGTATATTCATTTCTCGTCGTGTACACGTATTATATTCTATCAATCGCAGTATCATTCATACAATATAACATTGATTATTTTAAAAGTTACTTGTCAATTTAATTTGCGAAGTTTATTACAGTAGTTTAATTGCGTTTATATATAGTCCGGAAAAGAATTCGGCGCGCAGTTTTCGAAATACAAATATGGTATATATGCAATTGCATATATAGTATATTTAGTAAATCAAGATTGAATTATTTAAGCATTAAAGATCCAGCTTCGACTGTTATAGGAATTTTAATATTTATTGTATTCTCACATAAACGGTCTCTAAAATAATATTATTGATTATTTTATATCAATATAGAAATATTGACACCTAGAAAATATTTGAAAAATGCTCGTGATTGCTTTAAGCATCTATCAATTATATTATCAATATACTCGAATGTCGATAATTAATCAGATTTTATTGGCAATGTATTGCAGTATCCAACAACGTGCCACCGCAGTCGAAATTCCCCATCGTAGATTTGGAGAGTGGGACCAGCTATGAGCTTCGCGTGACGGCTTATAACAACGCCGGTTCCACCCAGGCTGAGTACTTGTTCAGTACGCTGTCACCGAACGGAAACAACCGTTTGCACGAGGATCATCCGCAGGAGAGCGAGACCACTCCGCTGTATCTCGACGCGCATGTTTTGGCGCCCAGCGTCATCTCTGTTCTCGCTGTCATGCTGGCGATCGCCGGAGTGTGCTTTTGTCTCAAGACGCGTAAGTACGAGCCTGTCGAAGTCCGCTCTATCAATTTACGTCGCGAGCGCGTACGCCCCGAGCGAGCGAACGCAAGCTCCTGCTGTACGGGATGCAGTTTTTTCCATGTTGTAAAAAAATCTGTCGGATGCCGTTTATTTTCGCGTATTCCACTTGGTACACATTGTAACGATTCCGCCGTGAATTGGAACAAGGGGGTGAGGGATGGGACAGTCTAGATGTTTTATTTTTTCGTCAACTACCCTCGATATCAGGTACAATGTCAACAACAGCAGTCCACGATATCCGCCGCGAGCGTTTGGTTTAATTAAAAACTTCATAAACGAATCACGTAGCCGGGACGTTGCTCCAGATAAACGACGGTCTACTGAAACGAGAATATCTCCTTTTGCATAAATCATTCAAGAAATACGCTCGCTCATACTTATTCGAGTTACCACAGTTTCTTGATATCGTCTGCAACAGTCTATGTAAGCGGCTTTTTCTATCCACGAGAGAATGCGCTCAATTTACACGACGATGGAATTTTATATCTTTCTCATACGCGTATTCAGTGTCTGCATTTTGTAACTTTTATACTTTCTTAAATACTTTAGAAGCGAATTCTTTTCGCGTCATTAGATTTATTTAACAATAAGAATTTTACTCGTCGAGCATCATAATTGCTTTTTTTTTTAAAACTAATTTAATACCGAAAGACAGTATAATTTACTTATTTTTTAAATATTAAAGGTACTGAACGAGTGTGCCTTTAATACTTAAAATAAATAATTAATTACTGTATTTCAGTATTAAATTGCTTAGTATTAGACTTCTGTAAGGATTAGTATCACGTATTTTACATAATCTGTATCACGTTTCTGATGATCGCTGAATGTCTGCTACATAGACTTATACCCATAATGTAAATTGACTTTAATCTCGGTGTAACTTTTCAGGTCTATTATATAGTTTACATTAATTGGTGATCGCCATAGGTTAACTTTAATGTCGGTTTAACTTATAGTTTTTATAAAATTTAAAATTTACTTTAAGAATTTACATATAAAAATATTATTAGGCATCAAGCTTTGGCTTCGATCGAATTGGACTTTCTGTACTTATTCGATTTATTCATCTAGCGGCTTAGATTAACTTATTGTTTACTTTTTATCTTTCTGAAAGTTAAAAAAAGATAAAAGAATAAATTAAACCGAGATTAAAGTTAATTTACATGGTAGAAGTGGACATTATATACATAGACTGAGCACTTTTATAAAAGACTGCACGTCAATGAACAGAAAGAGAAAGAAAACATATGCACAGGCAAACTATCTTTGTTACTCCTGCTCTTAAACTTTCTTTATTTTTCCTGTGCGACGAGGATAGCATGCCTGAGGCTGATGAAAGGGGAATATAGTTATCCTTCAATCTCACGCAAGCTCCCATAAGGCGCAGTATATATATATAAGTTTATGATCTGTTAACTCGAGTATGCAAACCGTTTCCAGATCCAGAAGGATCCGGTGGCGCAAACGACCCGAGTTCGCAAACGCAAGCGGCCCTGGATAACAAGCACAACATGGAACAGAGGGAACAGTACTACGCGACCGTGAGGAAACCAGGACAACAGTCACCTTGTCGCGAGGTGAGCGCCCTGGAACGAATACCCGAGTATTCGGAAGACATTTATCCGTATGCCACCTTCAATCTGCCCGAGCAGGAAAATCTTTCGGCGAACCCCATGAGACAGGCGTTCTTCTACGAACGCAGCGAGACGATGCTGCAAGGTGCTCAAGTACGTTTATTTCTCACAACGATTTACGACGCCGCCGCTACGATCCATCTTACGATTTTTTTGACACCGCTCCCCGTAAATTGTGACGTCCGGGCTGATAAAAGATAAAAGATTTTTGAACTTATGACGCCTAGATGTCTGCCCCGGATAAAGTCACTGCGACTAAAAGTAATCTCATTAACGAAGTTATAGTGTAATGGAAGTAATTACTTTCCTTGCATTAATACTTAAAAGGACCATAAATTGTTCCGCGCTGTGTAGAGAACCTTAAATTAGAATCGCCGACATTATTTAATTACTATATGTTCGAATTTAATTACAGTTTGAAATATATTGCGAGAGGTAATATGAAGCAAATGGTTTGTTAAAAATTAACTAGGCTACAAAAAGAAACAAAAGATATTCAATAACAATATTTGATTAATTTTGTATCTTTTGCCAATATTTTGCGATCGCGACTAAAAATAACGTGATATCATTCACCATATTTTACGAATGAATATTTTAAAGATGACATTTGCGAGAGTCGCGTGTCAAACATTTCTCATATTTTTCCCGCAAAGAATCTCATACAGCGAATCGATTGCAGTGCGACGTAGACCAGTACACGAAAGTACGTGGTCGAGCGCGACGCAAATCAAAATCGTTCAAATCGGAATCGGAGGAGTACGACACGCTGGGCTCAGACAGCGACACGGAGGTCGGCACCAGCAGTCGTACGGAGTCGTCGAATCACCTGGACGACTCCGGCCCGACGTCGATAATGGCTCGCTCGCCGGGACCGAACTCTGTGAATCAGCGAGAGCAACGGCTCGCCCTGGTGCAGCGACCGGTTCATCATAGTAAGTTAGTATTCAGTTTTCTGTGTCCGGGCCGCGTGTAACGCAGCCTATCACGTAAATCAAGCGCGCAACCACTAATCCATTTCCTGCGTCAACGTCTCGCGTACGTCTTTCCAGATGTGCTGTACCACACGCACGAATCAAGTACATCAACCGAGCCGTCACCAATTTCTGAGAGAAAGACTTTCCCGAGGCTCGAAAAGCAACGGTAAGAACGCCGGTAGTGTCAGATTCGCACATTATACTGAGGAAACAATTTTTGAATTTGTGATATTATTAGCGTTCCATTAAAAAGAGTTTCCTTAAATAAATAATACTAGATGTCTCTTTTTTAAATTATGTATCGATGCGACAGTAAGATTTTTCGGTATACTTGCCATATATTATCCCCGAATCAGATATATCATTCATTACATTAATTAATTTGTATAAACGACTTGGTACGACTCGAATAAGTTTTAATTTCTTCAAAGTTTTTTTTTCTTTCAGTGCACTTGAATGACAATCTATTTTCGCAGGAGTCGCGGCGCGATCGACGTCGCGATCGACGGTCGTATTCCCGGTATCCTGCGACCGGTGCTGAAGCTATCGGAGTCCGGAGTGCATTCGTGCTCGCGAGGAGCGTCGCCGAGTCGTCCGGTGCGTCCTGGTTCCTACGACAGACTGGAGAAGGAACCGTCGAGCACCAGGAAATCCGTCGAATCGCTCTGTCTCCTAGAGGAGCCGATGGGCACGTTCAGAATGATGAGGAGGGACGACGATTGGGGCAGCGAGCTGTCTACGTTGGAATTGAAGCCACCGAGCGGCTTCACCGACGTCCACGAAACCAGTGAGGCCGAGTGTGACATCGACATGAAGCTCAAGTTACACAGGAAACGACCGAGCGGTCTCCACTCGAACAGCTCACTCTCCAAATCGCCCAAGGATTTCACTATCACCGTCTAAGTGTTTTAATCAAATATCGAAACCAAAATGAAATTTAAAGGAAGCCAAAGAAGCGAAAGATTTAAATAAGCGAAGTATTGCCAAAGCATGAGTGTTATTAAATCAAGTAAGTTACGATTTACGCCATTGAGATTCTTGCGATTGCCAACGTCGCTCTACGAATCTAAATCTCTGGATGTTCGTCTTTTGGAGTGACTACTCTGTCAAAGACTTCGTTTACAAATAAAAACTTATTTTTCTAAAAAAAGAGGGAGGAAATGATTGCACCTTCGTCTATTCCCATAATCCCATAATCAAATAATAATATATCAATATATATAAACAATTCATATATTTAATCGTTGTAATTATTTGTTGTAATTATTATCACACTTAAACAATACTTACTTGCAAATCTTGCATCGACGGATATATTTAGTTTCAGTTATCGCAGGTATATTCTCCTAAAATTGATTAGCAACAAAAAACCGCATAGATTTAAGTAAAAAGTATATTACTACATATAACTATATTCGGCTGCACCATATATCAGAAAGAAGTGATAAAAAAGAGCATTTCTACTTTACGCAAAATGCTATGTGGAAATTTTAAAAATGCATTTTTTTTTTAGTTGTAACAATATCTCTCGCATATTCTATTCCATTGTCATATTAAAAAATTCCATATTATTTTATATTATTCAACTATTTTTATCAATTGGAAAAATATTTCTTTTTTATGAAAAAATGAGAATAATTTTCAAATAAATATTCCACATAATTTTTATAACTCTATAGTTGACTAATCTTCATGTGATTAAATTAGTACTGTCAATGATAATTTACTTCAACATAAAATCTAATAAAAAAAAGAAACGAATAATTATTATAAGATATCGAAAGGTGAGAGTAAGGTACTTATAATAATGAGTGCATCGCAGTGAATTTAGTTATCGCGTCTTACGAAGCGACTAAATCCGGATCGGTGCTTATGAAGGCCTATGATGATTCGCTGGTGAGTGAAGCTGATTTGACCATTTGCAAATTTCTCGCAAACTATTTATTAGACGTATATGTTCTTAAGCACGGACAATTCTTCTCGAATGAAGCGTACAGTTAAAAAAACGAGTAATACTATCGCACATAATGACTGATATCGCAATCATTATATCCGTTTAAACCTCTCTAAAATTTCTCTGTCTTTTGTTTCTTTTTTTCTTTACGTTTTCGTTGAGATACGTACTGCATGTCGAGTAATAGAGTTTGATGGAGACCGCATTAGACCAGCATTTGTGTTCGCGGCTCATTGACGCATGTCGTTTTGCCGCTCAATGATTTATAATTAACGATGAGCCGCGCGTCGCGACAAGGATGACTCGCGTGACGTCGTAGGAACAGAGAAACAAAGCTTTTTGATTTTTATATTCGTGTTTCGCGCTTTAATATGTCACGCGGCTCGTCCTCTTTTTCTCGGCGCGAATGATCTCTTTCACTCCCGAGCGACGGTCAGAGAATCGATTTGTTAAAAATTCTATCGAAGGCAGTGCGGTCGCTATGCTCGGAGATTAACTCTTTCGCTACTGATATAAGATCACCGGTTTCTTCATGCAGTAATGCGGTATGTGTGCAGCCCATTTAGAACTGATGCCTGCAAATGCATTATTTTCATGCATTTTAGGAGATAATAATATAGTCTTTTTTCATTTATATACAAACGAAAATACATTTCGGATTAATTATTATAATTGCATGATATTTGCATTTCTGCATTATCCTCGTGCATTTTCAAAAGATAATAATACTTACAGATCTCCCCTCTTATTTATACAGACAGAAATACATCGATTAATAATTGCTTGATTTCTCTTGCGCCCAGTTGTGTGATTGCAGTATTTGATTACTAAATCACTAAAATTGATAACTTCTACATTTCCAGCGTAGAAGGAAAGTTTGTATTGAATTTTAATTTATTCTAAATCGAATACGTCGAAACAAAAAAAATACGCCGTCAAAATTTTCTGCTTAGATGCCATAGCGAAAGAGTTAAGAAAAAGGAGTAAGAGAAAGGAAGGAATGTTCTCATAGGTACTTGTTTGGCAGTCTTGACTGTCATTTTACGTATTGGCTTCGCATAATTTTTCTCGTCGTATATTCTCGTCGGATATTAATTGGGCATGGCGCGGATTCGTGATACCCGATTGTCTCTCGGGACCCTCCCCTAAAACTTTCCTACTGCTACAATTTTCATACATTAGCCGACCTCGGTGTATCAGCGGTGTCGATCGTGAATATACGTATAAACAGCTTTCCCCTCTTTTTACAATTACCGTAGGCCGTAGTGCGCTTACGTTTGGGTTGTGGGGAGAGAATTAGCCCCCGTCGTATGTTCTCTGCGCGGCAATTTGTTACAACCCAGGTAGCAATTCAAGGAATACACAAAAGTCAACAAAACATCAAAATGACTTTATTTTGATTCTCAATGTCAATAAACAGTCAAATTTTGTAGCTAAAAATGATCATTTTGACTTTCATGACGTCAAAATAAAGTCATTTTGACTTTCTCTTGACTCGGCGTGTTCTTTGGGAAGCTGACATTATTTGTCGTCGTTATGATGTCAAAATGACGACAAATAATGTCAGCTTGCTATCTGGGAAATAATAATTATAAAATTATAAATCGTGGTAAAACTTATAATGTACGAAACAATCGAACGTGCTCGAGTGTAATTTTTCACGGTTGTCTATTGAAGTTTCGATAGGCATTCGACATATACATCCTCTGTTAAAACACATCGATTTCTATATATATATTATATATATATATTTCTTTCTCTCGCTGGATTATACGTATTTTATATAAGTAACAAACTCTCTGAACGACTGCGCGCCAACGAGATCCGCGCAATCCCGATTCGCCCTCCCCGATTCGCTCTTTCGCGTTCTTTCACTTAATAAAATACACATATGCACATACGCGTACGTATATATATCACATAAAACCAACTCGGAACGAGACCGTTCGCTTTTCTTCCACGTGTGGTCCGCGCGAATACTACAGTTACAATCGCAGTCTTTATTATACCGAAGATGTAAAAAGAAATCCGACGAACGTGCTGGAGCTCGACCACCCCTTCACGATTACTTTATCATGCGACATTCGAAATTATCCGCGATTAATATCGGCGAACCATCTCTCTCTCGCAGAAGAGCTTGTTTCGAAATGGGATTAACAAGAAGGAAAATGATTGCTCCTCTCCCGTCAGCAAGTATATAGCCGTTTTATAGCCATCCGGCGGACGAACGACGGGAAAACGCAGTTCAATCGTTATCTTTCTCGTCTCGATCGTGGCGTATAGCGGATGATGAAGGAAGGAAAGAGATAGAAATGAAATCAAGAGCCTGGGGAGCTAGATGCGAACTAACGGTGTGAAAACGAACGAGACAATGTGTGTGTGCGTCATCTTACAAATATTATGTTGACTAGAGTCTACATTATCTATACACATCACCTATTTTATCATCGAATTATACGCGGGCGGCCGCACACGCCCCACCGGATCGTCCCTTTATCTCACGGCCACTCATACCTCATTAGACGTCTATTTTTCTCTTATCCATGTAGGTACGTACACATATAATCGTGTAATATCGTAAAATACAGTATAGATCGCGTCTGCGACGAGGTATCGCTCTCTGTACAAATCGCCCGCGGGATTTACGAGTATAGTTTCTCACCCCTCTCTTTCTATGGCATTGTCTCGTTGAATCCGATTTAAAGACGGGGCGATTCCTCGTCCGCCACGTCTGCACAATTCATCTTACTCTCCGATCGCCATTCATATCATAAATATTTATATATATATATATTTTTTTTTCTTCTCGAATATTAGCGCGACAAGTTGTGTTCGTGTGAGCTGTCCGTCACTCAGGTGTGCATCTACCACTTCGGCGTGTACATGTATGTATGTGTAAACGTGTATATGAGTATGTATACAATAATATCGCTTCTCATTTCTGTTCCTTTCTGTGACTTAAGTTATTACGGCGTTAACTAAAAGACACGTTCTTTACATACATAGTAATCTCTAGTTAGACGATAAGTCGATAGGTGTTTTGTTCGTACGAGTTGGTAATCAATCGAGATTCCACCATGGCTAATCAGATTACATACATTGTTCATCGAGTATATTCATCACTTCCGGTGGGCAATCCCTATCTCGAAGATTGATCTGTTCGGTCCATTCCGGAAATACGCTTGCATTATTCGCATTGCAAGCCTCACGTAATTCGGGCGCTACCAAGTTTCTTGAAAGAGTATGTATATAGAATTTTACAATCGGCCCAGTGCTGGGCCATTACTGGTTGCCATAGTTCAGGTACTGGCGCAGTACTGATTAAGTACTGGATGATAACTTGGACCCAGTACTGGCAGATGGTACTGGCTCAGTTATTTTAGCTAGCCAGTGATGGCCCAGTATTGGTTGACAGAATCTTGATTAGTTGACAGACGTAGCGTTGGCTAAGTGTTGGTTTCGTTGTGAACTGCTGGCGACCCTATATGGGTAATTCTTGTGCGAAAGGCACATCGGTACCCGATGCTGTCCCTTCCGCTGAAGATTTCTGATTTCTCGCTTTCGTGAACTAGGGAATCGATTTTTGTTTTAATTTTCCCGAACGACAATCAGTCTTATATGGGCGTTCTTAATCATGTTGCAACTTCACGTATCGACGATAAAGCGATTTTCTTTTTAACGAGCATGTGTACCATTCCCGCATAGCTAATCACAGTGGGCTGACCAAATAGAACGTGTAGAGTCACTATTCTCTTTCTTTCCACGCGTATTTTCCGACTTCGGCACTTTGTACTCGTTGCCTCTGCTCTCTCCCTTTCGTCCAGCGATTCTACGTCGTCCGAAGGCGATTATATCGATTTTCGATTATGTACGCACTCGCGTATAACGAAATGAACCTGACACGATTCGCGAGGAACTATATTTTTTTCTTTATGTGTATTTTGTCTTTCTTCTTGTTCCGTGACGCGAAAATCCGAGTCGACTTGATAACGTTATTGATTATCACGGAAGAACGTCATTCGATAGTATTGACTGATACTTGTCGCGATTATTATTAAAATGGTAAATCGTTACTTAATTATAACATAGTTTCGGCAAGTTGAAACGAACTGGTTTTGAGTCTCCTGCACTCAATTGCTCATTGTTAACTTAAATGAGTAGTCTTTCAAAAAAGTAGAGACTAATTTGTACTGTTACGAGTTAGGCCAAGCGACGGAACGTACACTTCGCAAAGTATCTGTCTGCGTTTTTCGACGCACGGTGACGAATAATCGATAAGACACATTTGTAAATCAGTACGGATGTGTAATGAGTAGTATTTTTACATACAACAAAAACACACTGGCAGATCCACGGAGAAGTTATGCTCCCCTCCTCTTGAAGTCTTCTTCTTTAAAAAAAATTTATAGTAAAAAAAAATATTACACATATTTTTAATATTTCTCAAATACTTAATTACAATTTTGATATTTTAAAAATATTTTTTAATTTAAGGAATTCAGATATAAAAAACATAGATTTTATTATATTATACTTTTTGTATTAATATAATTTAAAATAAAACATTTTATGAATTGAAACAATGACATTCAAATAATACTTTTTCAAAGTAATAATTTAAATAATAATTTAATATTCTGTTTTTTTTTTCATATTTGACTTTAAAACAAAATTTCGCTTACGACGCGTCAATGGCCTCCCTTTCTGGATCTGCCAATGCAAAAGCGACTATTTTTGCATTCTAACTTGTCGATTTCTTTTCGTCGTAAGCTTCGTGCCCTCTACATAAGGAGACAAACAAAAATATTATCCTGCAGATATAATGTATACGCAGTTTGTATAATTTAATTTTACAATGTAGATATCTCCTTCATCACGCTGGCTAACGTCATCAAATAGGCTTTACGAATATAGGCTTTATGAAAATATACAATTAATTAGTTGCTTAAATGTCGATTGATTTATAAACAGATTTCTCAACGACGTGATCGCTAAATGCTTTTATATTAATACATATTAATATATAAAAAATACGATAGTGCGCTTCGCTTTGCTTTGTTTCATTCTCGGGTATAAAATACAAGTAACGGTAAATTAAAATATCGCGATTGTCATCACCGTAAAAGAATTATATTACTTTACGTTTTTAATTAAAGAGAAAGCGTAAGCCACAGCGCGAGTCGACAACTTTGTAGTGTCATTTTCTGGTGTCTTTCAATAATTCCGATAGAGAATTTCGGCCTCTGCTTTCTTTGTGTGAATGTCACCTATAAAAAAAATGCCCGCTATTTTTCATAGAGAGATCGCGTCCTACGAGTAACGTTGCGCGTTAGACATTATCAAAATCGTATAGTCTTCTACGAAGTTGTGCGTTCGACTCGTTCACGGATGTTTCGCGGACCTGAAGCGAATTGAACACGCGATTCGATATTTGCTACATACGTAGTTTTGATTTTCGCGTATCGAGCGGCCTACAGCGCGAAATCACTCATCCGAACTTAATTTTAATGATTAACGATTGACGATCGACGATCACGGTGGCTGATACCGGTATCGTTCGCTTAAATGGCAGTAGCAAGCACGATAAGCCGTGCATTGTTGTGGCCAATGATCGTTGGCCATAAATCGAAGTGGATGAAAAACGAGAGAGGGCAGACGCTTATAAATGAATTTTCGTTATCACGCGCGACAATCGTGATTCGTATATGCGAAGCATTTCGCTCCGACGATGCACCCCCCACGTATATGTATTGTATAACAGATAAACTAAAACACGTAGAACAATTGGATACACGTGTATACGTATATGATAATATGTACACACCCATCCGCGGTAATATCGTCCTAATAATTAGGCTATCGTAATGATTCTTTGGCAACTCGGAGCTGTCGGATTTTCGACGTGCGTATATATACATGCGCGCACGCACGCACCTACATACGCACACACACGCACACAGCACACAAATTTCCTATACATGTACATATATATAATATTTTATGTAACGTGTATGTGTGTGTATGCACCTATACGTATTATGCATATGTGTGCGCGGGCGCGCGCGCACGTGTGTGTGTGTATATCAATAATTATGCAATATATATATATATAATATATACAAAATAAAATTAAACAACATAAACTTACGCAACGGACAAGATAAGCATCGCCCATCCGGCATGCATCGGCGGCAATTTTGTCTCTTTGTTTGGCACTGTCCGCTCGCGCGTCGGAAACCGGGTTTCCTTACCGAAATTCTTTTCCTTCACATTTTTTTTCGTTTTTTTTTAACATTCACGTTAGCTTTATGTACACTAAGAAATCCGTTCGAAGATCCTCCAGCTCTCCCTTGGATGCAAATTATCACCTCCTCTGCGATGCGAGGATCAGTCTGTACAAGGAGAAACAGATTTTTCTTTTACAATATCGCGTCAACAATATTTGTTCGAGAATTCGACGCATGACCGGTACTTACCAGATTGTGATTAAATTTCCGGCGTTCGGGAATCTCGATTACAGCGGGGCCGACTTTCGCGAGGGTGCGCTGCAACCGAAGATAGGCCGGCATCATTGCGGCATCATCTTACAGCTGGGCTCCATACTGTCGGAGGGTACACGCATGCTGCCATTTGTGATATAACCATTAGCATCGACCATTACGGAGACACCGGATGGTGGATGATTATGATAACTAATGTTTCTCTGCGATACCACCATGCTTTTTTCCGACGGTACTACGTGATCATTGCTGCCGCCGTGGGAGGAGAGGCAGGGTTCGCTCCCACGACTGCTGGACGATTCGATTGGGTGATCCACGCGTATGGGAATGCTATAGTCGGACAGGTATTCGGAACTGACTTCTACGGTCGCGTATTCGCGAATGACGGATGACTTGGATGGATAATCTATCGGCATATGTTGAATCGACGAGGCCGACCTGATCTCGTTTGGGTCATTCAGCGTAGCGACGTGTCCGTTCGCCATGGCGTACAGGTCGGGCTCCGCGCGGCCTTTCGTAGATAGCATGGACTCGAGACACTGGTACAGCAATATGTAATCCTCCTGCGAATGATAAATAATTTGCAAAAATTAATTTTCTCTTTTAATACAGCTAAAATTACACAAAGAGATATTCTGACTTAGTGGAAGCTAGGCTTACCTTCGAGCGGAAAACGCCAGGTCGTTTCATGTAAAGTAGCTTTGCGAACATGTAGATGTCGGCGCTTTGCTCGAATTCCAATTGCTTGTTTAACGTAGTCAGCAGAACAAAGAGTGCAGCCTCGACTCCACCGTACCTAAAGTGTATAACACACGATATGAAATATATTCGCTTAAATAATTAAATGTCGCCGCAAATTAGCAAGAATGAAATTTTCTGCACCTATCCATTACAACGATAGGACCGTTCTGATAATCCCGATGAAAGTCTTGAATGATGCTGACAAAGGTCTTCGGATTATTGTTGTGCGGCCACAAACCGCTTTGATTCGACGGTGCTTGAACGATCCTGGCACTGAGCTCATAATCATCCTGCAACGATCGAACCGCCACTTCTAGCAAGATCGTTCCGTTCACGGTCTCCTTCGTGCCGCAGAGTCGTACTCGGAATGTCTCGGATTCAAGATCCTTTCCTTCGAAGGGCCAAAACTCCGGATACTCCTCCTGTCGAATAACATTCTTCATATTACAAAATCTCGTTTCTTTTACTTCTTAAAACAATCATTTTATTCGAGACGTACCTCATCGCATTGAGTTAACATAACGATAGTCTGAGCATTGTGGTCCCACATCATTTGCCAGAACTCCATTATGGTGTTCTCCATCGGATGTTGCGTTATGATAAACTCACGATTGCGTTGAAAACCTAAAAGTACCAAATAAATATTTTGTCATCGTTTGCAGGAATTTATACTTGATACGAGCAAATCCATTATTGATTACCTGAAACCCATGTCGCGTTTATGTAGTCGCTTCCGTCAACGCCTGGTTTCGGCGTTAGGTGAACGCGCGCATTTTCGATAGGGATAATGTCCATGTTACGATTTTTGTGGACGTTGCACGCTTTGGTGGCGGATACGAGATTGAAGTCCTTAGGTTTCCACGACGTCACCAACTGTAGAAGCGACAAATAATTAGATCAGACTATTTAATATTCAGACATTGGCAATTGTAAGAATAAATCAATTACCTTGTATTGAGCTTCGATGTTGTTCCACGCGTCAGTCTTGTTATTCGATGGACACAGCATATCTTGAATATGCTTTATTAAGTTATTAGAGTCGATGTTGGTCTCGCCGCTCTCAATCGCCTCCTGCAGAGCATCGTGAATAAAGATGTACTGCTCTTCCGTCTGAACCAGGAAATTTCTCTGAGTGCGGATGTGCTTGAGGAAACCGAACACATTAATCTCGCTCTTGGCTTTAGCTTGCTTCAGCATAGCGTCGATCACGATGTACGTTCCGGTACGTCCGACGCCAGCGCTGAAATAAAATAATAATTTTATACATAAAAAAAAAATAGATAGACCATTAAAAATAGAAATATTTAATCCTTTAATGTCACACTATACGTTTGTTATAAGTACAATACACATCAAGATAAACATATTATAACAATATCTTTTTCATTCAAAACGTCAGACATTAAGAAATACGATAATGATAAGTAAATGTATGTATCTTTATTAATAAAAAAGTATAACATATAATATAAAAACAATTCAAGTATGCTATATTGAGAGTGGCATCGAAGAGTTAAAAAGGTTTGAAGCGTCGAATTAAAGTTTCTGTTTGTTAAAATGCATTTTTCACCTGCAATGAACGACGATAGGTCCAGCTTCTGGGGGATTAGCGTTGGACGATTTGCGAATAAAACTCAGAACGGGTAATGGATGATCGGGCACGCCATGGTCAGGCCAGCTGGTGTAGTGATACTGCCATATAGTGCGCTCGCCCATATTGGTCCCATTTTTCTTCTTCTTGATCTGCTTAAAAATCAAAGAGAGTTTTTTTGTTGAAAAGCTTACTCAATTATTGACTTTTGATTTCGCTATGATACTCTTTTTCACCTATTTATTCCTCTTTTTGAAGAATGTTTCAAGCGCGTTTTATTTTTAAATATATACCTTTAAATGTCGAATTTGAAGAGTACGGATGGTGTATGTGGCCATAATGTCCTCCCTCACTAAAGTTACTTGAATGTAACCGTACGTTTCGGTCCCTTCTTTGGGCCAGTACATATCACATTTCCTCTACAAGTAACAATAATAATCCATAAGTAAATTATAATTCAATAAATCAGATTTTTCTTCATCAATTGTTACAGTAAGCCAAGCATTTATGCGTGTAAATGATTTATCTTTGTTACCAGTTTCAACATTTTATTATCTATATACATAATTTTTAATTAACATTGTAACAAAATATCGATATCAACTTCATACTTACACGACCGCGTTCAACAAGGTTGGTAATCATTACAACTATTGATACTCGCTGTTCCCAAACCATCCGCCAAAAACCATCGAACGTAGGCGGTAGTGGACCCTGGGTACCGATGTAAGCTCGCGCTCTTTGCCACCCGTCGATGTAGTTCGCGTTAACATAATCCTGGCCTTTTTTAGGCGGTCCACCGCCGCAGGAGAGCAATTGCACACGAGTGTGGTCGTCTAATGATAATAACGTAAAGAGTGAAGTTAAACCATTTTAGTAAAATTAAGGTAACGCCTTCGCATTCTCATTTCAACCGATAATTTACATAATTGTAATTTGTTACTTGGTCTAAAAATACGGATTTTAATCGTGCCACACAATTATCCACTTATCAGTCTGGCTCGAACGTAAAAATCAACGTGCTATTCAAGTCGAGATATATTCTATATATTGTCTTATTTTAATACAGAGATTATATCGATTGTTTCATTCCGCTGATAATGAAGAAGCATTTTCTATTTTGAACGTGCGAATTTCGTAATGATGCAGCAGTATTATTGAACAGTTGAAACAATTTTGCTTTTTCCCGAACAAATTTGTCATTATTTGTCACGATAAGTCTAAAAAATATAGAAGTGAGGATTTGATGTCATACAATATTTATATAATCTTCCTGAACAAATTTGTCATCATTTGTCTACACAATAAATCTAAAAAATATAGGAGTGGATCAGATACAATATTTATATAAATACCAATGTGGTGTGGATTTAACATTGTGATTTAAAACCCATCATTTATAAATCCACACTATGATGTTTACATTGACACGGTGAGAATTATATAACTACATTTAAGACCCATACTTAACAGCCTGGTGTTAAGTATGGGTATTAAATGATATTAAATTCACACCCATATTTTTTAAATTATATCTTCCGCTTTAAATTTGTCGAAATTAATAATGATACGTGATAATCTCACATCAATCTGATGATATCGATCGTATTGACATATGGGTCAGCGACTGAGGAATCAGACTGAACTAAAATAAATCAATCGGAGCGAACAGCAACGGCAATATCAAATAGAAATCATCATTCAAAAATGAACGTTCTCGCGGAAGGAAGGAACAATAATATTACTGGTTCTATATTAAGATGTTTCTATTCATTTGTAAACAGACATGGGCGGGTGATACATCAATGCTACTTACACGCGAGTATATTCAAGTATCTGTTCTTGGCCTTATTCTCAGCGAACTGGGAATTCTCCACGGTATAATCGCCAGTCTCGGATTGTATTAGCTCGTATTCTTTACTGAAACCGATATCACCGTCGGCATGAAGACTCGCGACATGCTGAACGAATTGCTGAACGGCCACGGCGGTCCTCTCGCCGTCTTGCTCGCTGTTCTCCCATTCTTGAAGAGTAGGAACATTCCGCGGCGGGTAATCCAGGTAATAGTAGGCAGTATGGAAGCATTTCCTAAAAATCGGTCTAAATAAAAAAAAGAAAAACAGGATGTTTACTGAAATCATATTTAAAAAATTGTTTGAGATTTTAAAGATTTTTTTTCAGTTATTTTTGTTCAAAATTCTAAGTAAAATTGGAGAATTAATAAAATTAATTGGACTGTAAGTTACACAAACCATACATCGTAAATTATTAGAGGCGACAAGAATTTTGCGAAACTACGCTAAGAAAAAAAGGTTTATTTGATTAAATTAATTTAGTTCATCTTTATTTTTTTTTGTTAGAGAATCAATATTTGTCAAATATGTTTGATTTAAATACATACATTCTTCATTGAAAGAAATAAAGACTAAATCAACTTAATTAAATGAACAATTTTTTATCTTAGTGTATATCTCTATCGTTTTTTATAATTGAAACCGTGAAACCTATGAGATCGTATAAAGAATACAATGTGAGCTACTTTATTCTGCTGAGTATTGTCTTCTACTGTCATTCTGATTTTTTAAATAAAAACTCATGAGACACACGAGAATGTACATGAATATACGCGGATGTGTATATCGTATTTATTGTTAATCGATTGTCAATATTTTACATTATCAAGAAAAAAATGATCAAAGAAATAATATTTTCAGAAACAGAATTTAAATTTAAAAGTAAATATTCAAAAATTTTCTTGAGTAAAAATTTCTGATTTTCAAGGATTAAAAGTTAAATTCAAGAGTGAAAATTCAAAAAATTTTTCTGAATACCGATAAAAATCTAAACCCCATAAAAATCCTTGATTTCCAAGAATAAAAAATTAAATTTAAAAGTAAAAATCCCAAAATTTTTCTAAGTAGCAATGAAAAGTCCTGCATCCTGCCCCATGAAAATCCCCCCCCCTCTCTCTCTCTCTCTCTCTCTCTCTCTCTAATTGCGGTAAAAAAGAAATTCCCTAAAAATGGCAGATTTTCTCAGGTAAAAAATACCCTATAAAAGGATATGAAGATGCATCTAAAGATGCATTCTGAAAAAGGAGAGGATATATCTAGATACTTTTTTCAAAGGAGATATTTAGATATCTAGACATCTAAATATTTCTTTTGAAAAAAGTATCTAGAATATCATCTCCTTTTTCAGAATGCATCTCTAAAAGATGCGTAGAAAATCTTTCGTCTCTTTCGTGTACATTATTTAAAAAAATTTTCAAGAATAACGTTTGCAATAATACACAGCATTCCACATAAATTATTCAAGTATCCATGCTGCAGAGAGTATGTAATATCGATGAGAAACACGTGTGGGTTGGGCCGATAGCAACGCTCAAATATTGATAATACTCTAAAATCAATGCCGATAACACTCCTTCGTACCACATGGTTAGAGAGATTCGCGATTTCCACTTAACAAACTTACAAGTTAAGGAAAAATTTCTTCATTTCGATGATACAATCTTGGCAACATCCATCATAGGCGAGGCCGCCCACAAATCAACGAATGCTCTTGCGAAATAAATGACGATTAGGCCGGACCCCGTCCGTGACCCAGAAAATGAGCTTGTCATCAGCCACGGCTGATCCTTTGCACATCGCTCGCGTTACCTCGTCGTTCCTAAACGTCACCCGAGACACTGACGCGCGAGAACTCCGAGTGACTCCGAGAAGCGAGAAGAAGAACGGAACTCGTAGATACGCACCGCACACGCGGTCTCGCTCGCGGCGCGCAAGAGTCTAGCTAGCTCGATGCGTGCGGCCGCGGCGTAGCGTCACGCTGCGTCGCTCCGCTCCGCTCCGCTCCGCTCCGCACCGCGCCACAAGTGGCTCCGGTGACTATAAGAGCACACTTAGGCCTTGTCACCGCTCGTTATCTCACGATAACACGAGAGAGACGTAAGAGCCAGCGCCGGGATATATTAAAATACGCATCGTGGTATCTTTTCATACGTCATATAGCGTCCCGTACATTATATTTGATAAAAATTTGTTTCCAGTGGGGATTTCCAATTTTTGGGGATTTCAAACAACACCTAATAGATCTATTTGTGTTGCGTGAAATCCCCAAAATATTCTGCACTTGACACATACATTTGAACGTTGAAGAGAAAGAAAGCGGAGATTCTGAGTGCAAAAAGTGCAAGCAATACGAATAAACCTATATATAGATACGTTCGTGAGAAAAGAGAAAGAGAGAGAGAGAGAGAGAGCAATTTAAAAATAATTTTTAGACTTTTACAGGATTAAGATAAGTTGTATACTTAAATAAATTAAGCATCACGGTTTAATAAGAAACTTAATAGGAGTAACAGTTTTTGCAGCTTATTAACATCTTCAAGATATGATGCTTGATTGAGCATCGAAATTATTAGAAATTAATTTAATTCGCGAGATTGCTAATGTAGCTTAATTGCGTTTATAGTTCCGATAAATTCGGCTAGCAATTCGAAAGAATACAAATATGATATATGCAAGTACATATATAGTATATTTACTGATTCAAGATTTGAATTATTTAAAGCATCAAAGATTTAGCTTCGACCGTATAAGCTTTGTAATTGCTAATATTGTGTTCTCACATAAACGGTCTAAAATAATATTGTTAATAGGAATGAATTATAAAAAACTAATTTTATTTTAATTTTTAAGATATTCTCTAATATGATATGTAAAATCATTTTATTTACTTTCTTTTATGATATTATAAAATGAAATATAGCGTAGTAACCTGACAAATTAAGTACCGTAGAAACTTTTTCCAAGAACGAGGTAATCCGAGGATCATAAATCCGAGAAGAGGTTGCTAGGACACACAATACCGACTGCAGCGGGAAATCAAACGAGAAAGCCTGAATGGGAAAAATGGTTGCGGGTGCGTGCGAAGGTGCGCGTGATTGCATCGCTCGCTCCGCGAACTTTCTAATTGCCCGTACTTCAAATGCGATTCGCGATCCAAGCACGCATTTGCGCTTCAACGTACCGGATATCATTCGGTCGACAATTTCCAGCTAACAAAAATAACAGAACATTTGTAGCGTTAGATCGATCGGTGCAGAACGGAAGTGAAACGTCGGCGATGCGAAATAATACTTCGCAAGATCGACCGTAACTGTAAAGCGTAACTCATTGCGGCGAGAGAAAATAGAATCAAGAAGATTTTGTTTATATCAGAATTCTGGTTATTTCAACTAAAATTATAATAGATTCAACTAGAAAATTTTGATTTGTCCATTTTCAATCAGAATTCCAATTAATGCAACCAGACTTTTTTTCCAATGTAGATTGTTCGGATAAAAGATACAGATCGGAAATTTAAATGACGGTACGCAATTGGAAAATTTGTACTAAACATGACATATTTTACGTTTCTCAAAAGGTCTATTTAAATTTTTGTGTTAATTTAAAACAGAATAAATATGTTGAAAGTAATATAAATATTATATAAAAAAATTAATACAAAAAAGATAATATTGACACCTTGTAAGCAAACTGTGGAAACATATTTTTAACATTTATGATATGTTAAATTAACACATATTTTATTCACTTCATTTCAAAACACATTATTTTTATGTTATTTGTTTACTTACTGATAAATTGTACTATTTTGACACTAAGAAATGTTAAATATCAATTTAACACAAACTATTTAAATAACATAATCATATTAACTCAAATATGTTAAAAAATTCAACACAAAATGTTAACAAAGACTTGAGTGGATCGTTTCCAACATAAATACGAAATGTTTCTTACTATGTGCAAAAAAAAAAATAGGCAATTTAATACGCTCAATGGAGGGTTTCGGTTTTGATTTTTCCTTTTAGTGCGCTTATCGACGTGCGACGCGGAAATATATCACCCGGTGCGGTCGGATGCAGCTAAAGTTTCCTCTGTATGCGCGATAACGCGCCGTGCGTTAAACCGTGACTTACTTCCACAACACGAAGGACGTAATCGCCAGCATCACGGCGAAGCAGGCGCAGACCATACCGGCGATCACACCCGCGCTGAGATCCTTGCTGCTGCGGCGCATCAAGGGCGGTATCTTGTCGCAATCGCGGGTGACCAGCACCTTCGTCGGTATGGAGCTGTCACCTCGGATGATCAGGCGGTTATCTATTGTGCTTCTGGTGGCTCCCCGTACCACAATCTCGTAAACGGTGTTCACCGTCAGGTTGGGTATAATCGCCTGCAAGCATGAATTCGCAAACACTTATTACGTGCGCCGTAATTGCATTTTATCTAAACGAAAAACTATTGACGAGATAAAAGCGACAGAAAAATAAAACTATCTTTGTTAGTAACATTATTATCGATAATAAAATAATTAATTTATAATTATTATATTAGACAGAAAATATGTGACAATTTCTCCTCATTATATCGCTCCGTTATGATTTATTATTAAATATTAAATTGTAAAACGTACCCCGCTCTCGAGATGACTTTTGTCGGCCGACAATTCGATCTCCTCGTAATATCGTCCATTATCCCTTCGATAATTGATGTAGTAGTAATCGATCGAGCCCCAGAAGTTCGCCGGCCTGGCCCAGTGAACGTAAACGGACTCGTGCGATTGGCAAGTTAAATTCAAGATCTGAGGTGCACTCGGTCCAGTTATGTCGGTCCTACGAATGATCTGATCGGATGGCTCGCCCTCGTTCTTCCGCGTGTAAGCCTTCACCCAGATCTTGTATTCGGTGTATGGGACTACAACATGGATTCATGAATGACAATTGAGCTAATTCAGTTTCATGAATGAAAGTTAAGAGACTATTTTTTTACGGTGACCGTAATCTGATTGGATCTTAACGAGATTCCCTCAAGTAAAACAATTTCTTCTCCATTTGTAATTATAATTATCTCGTAACAAATGCATTTACTTGTAAATATGAGAAAAAAATACGTGCGACGATAAGAATTCTTCGAGTTTTCGTTATCAATAAGCTAAGTACACCGACCTATCTCCGGTCGTCTGCTGTAACGACTATTCGCTGTCGAGTGAAGATTATACATGGTTAATCTTATGTTATCTGCGCGTTAAAAAAGGCACAAAGGCCGGATAGCGCACGTCGACCGATGTTAAACATCGTATTCATGCGCGTTAAAATAAAAAGGTAAACTTAAGCGTGACGCTGTTCAATATCCGCTATTCATTCACATAATTTAGAATAATTTAGAATAATAGAAGATAGAATAATAGACGTTATCTTAAGAGTAATCTTATTCGCGTCAGACGTATCCTTTATGCAACTTGTATACTTACGCAGTTCTTTCAGAACAAATTCGATGTATGAATCGTCGGAGTCCGCAGATTTGTCGGGTAGGTGCATCTTAACGTCCGTGTAATTGGAATGCATGTAGTAAACGCGGTAACCGGCGATGACACCATTGGCGTTCTCAGGCTCCGACCACGAGAGTTCAATAGTACTGCCCGTGATTCCCCGAGAGGTGAGATTCTCCGGCTTTGTGGGTGCTGGAATAAAGAGAGAAAAAACACGCGTTTTTCATTATAATAAACCGATGTAACCTTTCCTTTCTCATCATCGTCCGCAATGTCGCGCTGAGACGAAGTATTCAGTGCATTCGGAAATAGCAACTCTCCAGTAAAATTCTTATTTCATTCTTTTATTGTCAAATAGAACGCTTCTTCGTACGTACCGAACGTTATTTACATAGACATAAAGAAATAGACCGGGCATGTGCCGTGCACTTTTCTATGGTACATTTTCTATATGTGCACGTTGGGTCAGATATAAACGGAAAAGAGATACGAGACCATTGGATCTTATCCTGTTCTTTACTACGCGTCGCATTGATAAGAAAAGAATATAACCCGATGTTCTCTTACAGGATACTCCGAAATGTACAGTCAACGTGTCGGGTTTATTTCTATACATTTACAGTTATCCGTTCTCTCTTTCGAGCAGCAGCAGATATCGATACCCAACCCAACTGTATCTCCATTTTTCTAAAGCTCCATTTTCTAGAATAAATAATACGGATAAATAAACGACCGTCCAAGCGTTCATAAGAGAGTTCAAATTTATTGAATATTCATACATCTGCTACAGCATTACCATACGCCGCGCGGTGCGCTGCAATATAAAACATGCAAATTGATTTGCATTCCATCCTCGGCTGCGTAAAATCATTGACAGTAGACTTGCTTAAACAGCTCATTCCGACGTGCTCTAAATAGAACATAAGTGACGCGCAGTAAGAGAGATCCTCGAATCTATGCAGAAAGAATGATTTTTCGCTGAAACATTCAAAAATTTAGCTAGATACAGATCTAAAAATACTTTGGTTGGATCATCAAAATAATTATGTTGACGTTAAGCGTTGATGATAATGCTGCAAAAAAATTTAATATTCTAATATTACACGTTTTATATAATTATTTTTATGGTCCAAATAAAATTATTTTCGGATCTATATGTACTCTCCAAAATTGTGTTAGAATGAATCTCACTCTGAAGATATTTTAAATATTGAAAATTGAGCTACTCTTTTCCAAGACTGGCACTCCAAAGAATTCAGAGAGTAGATATAATTTTTAGATACTTCAGAAAAACCATTCTTGTACTAACGATAAGTAAAATAAAAAAACGAGAAAATGTATACTTGATGAATCAAAACTAGATTCTTACACTCTAAAAAATGTCAGTGTGGATTTAATACTTTTGGTGTGACTTTAACACCCATCCGGTGTCTATATAATTTGCACTATGTTGGGGTTAAATTAATACCAAGATGGTGTGGATTTAAAACCCATGATGTTAAATTCACACCGCTATTTTTTAGTGTAATAAATAAGATGAGGATTCCAAAGTCTTTTAAGCGATTGTTAAATTATTTTACTCATCGACAATGCGGAAAGAAAATCGTTTCCTCTTACTGAATCTTATCCTGAAATTTATTCGGCGGTTGTTTCACGTTGTCATCTCTCGCGATATTCCGTTTAAAGCTTATCGAATTCGCATTAGATTAATGACGTGTAATAAAACGCAAGGCTGTCGGAGAGCGAGAGAGTTACCTCTTACAAGCTTTATGAGCTGCGGCGGCGGATGATGTCATATCGAGTCTGTGCCACGCACGGAGACGGGCGAATCGTGTTCTCGTATTACTATCGGGCTGAAAAACGAATACGATTACGGGCCCGTAAAGCGCAAGGTCGCGATCGTTGCACGCGGCGTGGAAAATGATCTGTCGATACTACTTAGAATCTGCTGATGTTCATTTTCGTCGAAGCCACGTTCCGTAACGAATCATCGAGAAATGATCTCATCCGGAGTGGCCGGAAAGAGATTACGCGCGACAAAGCGTCATAAACCCCCGGGCCAAACCGACCGACGCACCTCGTTCGCGATCGCGACAATCAAAGAAAAACCTCTTTGATGTATCTAATTGATTATCGCCCATTTCGCGGAAGCAAGGGACCGAGGAGAACTATGTAGGCGAAAGTGCCTTTATTAGGATAGGTTCCCACTCAGTAACGGTTCACGAGTGAAAGGAACAACCGATAAGAAACCGACGTACCTGTTTCGAGTGCTGCATGCACTTTGATTTGCGCTGCTACAAGTTGCGCTGTTACCCGAGCTGTAACTATTTCGAATTTCTCGACTTTCATTCGCAAACAGACGGTTTCGATTGATTAATTAAAATATTTTAGATGACATTACGGGATTTTTCAGAATTCAATGCAATTTTTTTTAACACAAAGAGAGGATTATTTTTGTAAATTCTGTTAATAATGGAGATAATATTTTTTGACTTTGTAGTTTATTATTAGAGAAATCGGGGAAAAGTCAGGGAAATTAAAAACAATCAAGAAAATCAAGAAAAAATCAGGGAATTCTGTCAAATTTTCTGGAAAATTAAAATTCTTACCTTTAAAGAAGTCCAGTATGTGTAGATACACGTAGATCTACGCAGTCTTGGAATACTATCAACTTGATAATTAAATGCAAGCAGTGTCAGCAACATTAATAATAATTTACATTGCTATATTAAATTGCTCTCTCAATAAAATATTTGACGGTTTCCAAATAAGGAAATACAAAAAAATTTCAAAATACTATTGCAAGCATGAGGGAAAATTATGAAATTTTGTCTGAAATCGGGGAAAAATGGAATTTTAGGATGAGGAATTTGTGACACCCTTGATTGTGCTAATAATTTTTTTTACTTCGTAAAAGTATTTCAAGAATGATTGAGTTCGCAATGATGAGACCCTGACATGCATTCACACGTCTGGATTAGGCTATTGGCCTTGGATCCTGTCATAAAAATAGAATGTCCGGATTGCACGCGCGAGAGACGTAATACGGCGGTTTTACCACTCTTAAAGACAATTCTGAGGACGAGCGTATTTCCGTAATTTTATACACCGACGACACTTAAGGTCAGTAAGTAATCGTTGCCATGGCGATGCACGTGCTGTTACGTTATATGCTGCGCATGCAAAAAAAAGGCAGATGTAACGTCTGTACTATTTTATGCAAGGTTTGTTCGCGTCGCAAGATCCAAAACGCTCCAACATGCTCCTACATAGCTCCTACTCACTCTATCAAGCGCGTTGGAGTGAGTAAAAGCTATAGTAGGAGCATATTGGAACATGTTGTGGCATGCGACGCGAACAAACCTGTAGATACGAAAACACCGAGTCAGTCCTGTCAATATTTTATTACGTCTTTATATGCAGAAAACAACACACTAACCGATTCATCCGCAATTATGATCTCGGGTAAATCCCGCGCGCGATAAAAAAAGGTTGTAAACTATCGTTTTTTCCGCAACGTACAAAGTCGGCGGCGGCATTAATTGCAACGAGTTACAAAATAAACCAGCGATTCACACTTATGTCATAACACCGCGGCACGTGTATGCACGCGAGTTGGTGTGCATTTAAAACGTTTGCGCAATCGTTGAGTGTGCATTGTAGGCGAGACGCGAGTTAAGGAAAAGGCGAAGTCGCGGATTCCTTTAAGATGTATCGAGGTTTGTTCATGTCGCAAACTCCAACATGTTCCAATATGCTCCTATCATAGCTCTTACTCACTTCAACGCGCTTGATAGAGTGAGTAGGAGCTATGATAGGAGCATGTTGGAGCATGTTGGAGTTTGCGACGCGAACAAATCTTCGGTGCGAAAACGAGGCACGTACGTTGCACCGCCGCCGCTGCGGTTACGTTCCGCGAAATCGAGACGGAACGGGAAATGAGTTAAGCGTCGATTACACGAGTGGACAGTCTTATGCTCGCAAGGTGATTACGAGGTGGCCGCTGCTGCGCGCCGCGTAACGCAATACTCGAGTATATGACATTTCCTAGTGAAACTCCGCGGCGCGTTTATTTTTATGCCAATTAATTACGCGCTAAACGCGCACGAGATTTTCACCGCTGGATTAATTTACATATTCCAAGCGCGCGGCGCCACGTTTTACTCACGTGAATATAAATTATCGATTTAGAGCTCATTTTCTGTGCGTTATCGTTAATAACGTATTGTTTGGTTTATCTTAGTTCACCAATCGCTCGATTATCAAGTCGACTGTAATTGAAAACGCGTAAACATAAATAATTTCAATTCCCAGACGTAATATTGGATCGGGTTTACATCGCCTAATTTCGTACGTTGTCATTTCATTCCACGTTGAAGTAGATTTGGATTCGCAGTAGAGTATCGTAACGAGGTCTTATCTGTTAAATGTTATCCTGTTCGATCTAATGAAAATGCTGTAAAATAATACACCTCGAAGCACTACGTTCGAAGTATATCGTTTCTTTCGTTTTCTCTCTTATCGTGCTTTATTTCCATCGATATATTGTTCATTTGCTGTAACAACATAATTCAAAAATTGTTATTTTTAAGTTGTAAAATAATAACTTACAGAGAGAGAGATAAAAAATACTTTAAAATACGTACTTTTATTCCTTTATAATTAGTTATTACATCGAAATTACATTTCAAAGTTATTACAAAATTTTAATGATTCAAAATATCCCAACTCATTTTTTAGAAAACTTTGTTTTTTGAGTTGTGTCGTTAATGCAAATGAGTAATATCGCTTCATTACTTGTATTTAATTTTTACACGGAAATAATTTCTACAGTTTTCCCGAAAATTTATTTAAAAATTATTAAAAAATTTGGCTAGATATAAATTTGAAAATAATTTTGTTGGATCATCAAAATAATTATGTAAAACGCTTAAACGATGATGAAAACGCTGCAAAAAGTTTTAACGTTTTAATAACCAATTTGACCGTCCTACATCAGGATTGTCACAAAGGACTATGCCCAGTTTTACAGGGGAATTTGGGCCTTTCGGATGAACAACTTTGAGACATGCCTAAAATTTTAAGGTATCAAAAGAGAATTAAAAATTCCATAAGCCTAATTTTATAGGAGAGGTTTCCTGAGTGCTCCTAGAACATATATTGGCCACATTTCAATTAGGCAATTAAAACCTTTTGTTTCATGTTTTGAGTGGCTCTCTCCCCTTTTCATCGATTAATATTATTATATATATCACTTGTAACTATTCATTTGGAGTCCAAAAAAGGTTTTAGTTGTCTTCGTCAAGATTGGACCTTGATCAAAAAGTTCCCGGAATTATCACCAGGTGATGCTCTGAGTCAGCTGATTTGAGTTCTGTTTTTTTGGTTAGGTTGCCACATCTATCATTGACATTTCCACCAAATTTTATCGTCATAGCTTGACATTTGTAAAAGTTACGTCGTCTTGAGTACATCTACCTCTGCACGTGTTTTCAATTTTTTACAGTTTTAAAAATGGAGTTGAATTTGCAACAACGAGTTTGTATTAAATTTTTTGGCCAAGAAACGAATACCATCCAACAGCCATCGAATTCACCCGATATGGCTCCCTGCGATTTTTTTCTGTTCGATCGAGTCAAAAAACCACTACTATATATATAAAAGGTAATGGAAAAATCGAAGACGACTCTGATGGCTATACCGACAATAGAGTTCCAAAAATGTTTCGAGAGCTGGATCAAGCACTGTCATAAGTGCGTTGCAGTCGATGGGGAGTACTTTGAAGGGGACACTATCACTTTTGATGAATAAACTTATATTTTGAATTTTCTGAATGAATTCCGGGAACTTTTTGATCAAGGTATTATTAAGTATTCCAGATACTAGATGATTTGAGAAATCGAATAAAACCAGTCCTATATGGTACACAATACATGGTCATAATAGCGAACTTTGAACAGCTGTAGCACTCAAGGGACTCATTTTACAAAGTTGTGCATATGGAACTTTTTAATCCTTTTTTTATGCTCTACAATCCTAGCTAAGTCTCAATGCTGTCCAGCTGGGGCCCAAACTGGGCATAGTCCTTTCTCATCCTAAAATTCCATAATTTCTCCCTAATTTCCAGACAAAATTCATGATTTTCTCTGACTTGAATAATTTAAAAAAATGTTTTGTATTTTCGTCTTAATCTGGAAATCGTTAAATATTTTATTGATAAATCAATTTAATATAGCAAAACTGCATAGATGTGACATATATATATATTATTGTATATTAAACTTCTTTAAAGCCAAGAATTTTTATTTTGCAAAATTCCTTGACTTTTCCCTAATTTCTTTGACCGTTTTCAATTTCCCTAACAATTCCCTGATTTTGTCGCAACCTTCCTACATAATTATTTTCGTAGTCCAACAAAATTATTTTCAGATCTGTATCTGACTAAATTTTTAAATACTTCAATAAAATCGTTCTTTCCAGATGATATCATATAATAGATACATATGTTGCTCATAATTTTTCTTTTTATATCACTAAAGGCTTCGCACTTTCTCTAAGCATAAAGCACAATTCTATGTTAGCCTCTCTGCCATAAGATGACCCCGCCGAATTACCTCCGATATCGCTGTCATTCTCCATGGAAAACGGCACGATGTAGGTCGTTCGTTCAAAGATTGTCTCGTCGGTCGTCTGCGTGATCGGATCCGCCGTGGCGACGAGAAGTCTCAAGATCAGGGCTAGCGAGGCCGCCAGTTGAGCGGCACTGGCCACGTTGGCCCACGACATTTCTTCTTCTTTCTTCCTTTCTTCGCACGTTGCAGCTGTAGCTATAAAACGCCGCGTGCTCGCTTGTGTACGTCTCTCTTTCTCTCTCTTTCTTCTTTTTTTTTCTCTTCCTTTCTTTTACTCTTGCTTCAAATCTTTTTTTCTTTCTCTCTTGCTATTTCACGAATTCGCCCATCCTCGCCGAGGAACACGGCGCGTTCCTCTCGCGACACGTCTTCGCTCAATTATCGCACCGTCTTTATCGCAGCGGTCCACACAGAGCAGAGCGCACAACGACGCATTGTACATCAATCGATTCGTTGTCACTGTCACATCGCGGGCGCATAAGGTTCCTTGAGTTATTGGGCGACGAATCGTCAATCTTTCGACGAAAATCGTCGCGGCGTGATTGCACGGCGCTAAATTTCAGAACGACTACTTCCTGTTGAGAACAAATAACCTCGCATAAGTCCCAAGACGATTCTATCGCGAGCGTGAGTTCCTCGTAAATCGGCCAGGTGCGGCGACTCGCGCGAAAGGGAGACACCCAAGTGAGAAATCCCAGCGGAGTGTACACGGTGAATGCGGAAATCGCACTATCTACAAAACGCGAGAGAGTTTCACGAGGTCGGACCCGACTCTATCTACCATCAGACTCGGAAAGGTCGAATCGAAAGTTGACATCGATAGCACACGCTGCGCATTTATTCGCACTGATAAGACTTGTATACTGCTTTATCAATATTTAAACTACTCCCGTAGCGATAGCAATCGCTTTAGCGTTGCAGATAAAGGCTCAAAAGGTAGATCTCTAGAAAGGTAGCTGAAGTATTATTACAAATATCGATCGTGTTCCTAAGTATTCGTCATCAAACGCATGATCGTGTATCACGAGGGAAGATCGTAGGCAGCAGCGGATTATTCGGTCCCCTTGGAACGTTGTAGAGTCACTTCCCCTTGCATTTTTAGTGGGATAGAGACTAGGGGAATAGGTGTCCTAAACAACGATGGTCAGTATCGATATATCGTTCTGCCGACCAATCTATTAAGCACAAAAATATCTCACTCTATTGCTAAGAAAAGTGATTACTCAATTTACTTTCTTTTCTTTTAAATAATGGTTGTTTTTAACAAAGAATATTTTCTTTACAATAATCTTAAAACATACTTATAAATTTTAGAAGAACTCATTAATGTGTACTCAAAACAAGAATTTAGTTTTTTTTGAAGAATTTTATAAAATTTATCGAAGAAACGACTTTATAAATAAAACATCATGTATATAAAAAAATCGAATTTATTTTAATTTAATAATCATTGAAGTATATTAACTTATTAGGATTCACACAGAATATATTTTGAATAAATTTGGTGCTTGTGATAAACTTATGATAGATTTACGGATACATGAATTCTTTTAAAATACTTAATTATTACTTATGTACAATATGTATATTTTTCTTGTGTACACTGAGAAAAAATACATAGTCCATTTTAATAAATATTTAACTGGCAGTATTCAACTAAATATTTATTAAAATTGACTATATTTTTTCTCAGTATACAAATACTAATATTAGATGGAAGTGAAAAAATATAACAAAAAATATAATTGCAATTATTATACATCGTTAAAAGTTAGGACAAATTTTTTCAAAACCAATTTTTTTCTCAAAATTAATTAAACATTTTCGTTTCTTTACTGTATCTTCATTATCTACACGATAGATTATTTCAGTAACATTACAATAACACTGCAACGTTCTGCAATATTGCAGTAACATTGCAAATATTGCAACAATTGCAAGCTTCTGTGTTGTATGGGTAATCTTCAATATAAAATTTTGTTGTAATTGTTGCATAAAAATTTTTACTAAAGAATTAAAATTAAAGAATGAATTTCTTAAGTATTCGCATTTGTAGAGATTAATTCGTGACGCGCAAATTATTTCTTAACCGCTTAGAACGGAAGTCTCAGACTCATATCTTTACAGGAGAACTGATCTCTAAATAAGATCTCAGCACAATATAGAAAGTTGGTGCACGTACAAGCTTTTCCTCCCGTATATCCTTTCAATTTCCGATCAACGAAGAAAAGATACTTTTGAAGCGACGAGAGTAAATTTTCCTGATATAATGCGAACAATTAAACATCAGTCGCAGGAGAAACTGAGTTTGCTCAAACGCCGAGTTAAATGGATAAAGAAGCAAATTATAGGACGGCCAATAACAATAGCGCTTCCTCGTCAATAGAAAGAAAGAGAAAGATAGAAACAGAGAGAAAGAGAGAGAGAGAGAGAGAGAGGGCGGGGAGGGTGAGATACCCCTCGCACAAAGAGAATCGCGCTCCAGTTTCATATTCCATTTACTGCATAATTGGCTCGGAATAGATAAATAATTGCAAGAGCTTCGAAATAATGCTGACGAATAACGCGACACGCGTTATTTCGCGACAATATAAACTTTTATTCAATGAAGAAGAATCGCGCATACGACCACATATAACGATGGCTCACAATTGGCTCATAAAAGAATAATGACGTTCCGTTAAAGTTCTTTTTATGCGAAACATAAAAGATGCATGTTGCACGCTTCGCATTGAAACGGTAATTAAAATATGATATTTCCTTTATCGCGTTTACGATTGAAGTTATTGTAATTAAAATAGCAGACTATGTGTGCGTCAAACATGTTGAATATTTGTTAGCAGAAATATTTGAAAACTTCGGTCCTCCGCGAGAAAGGCCGATGCAAAGCGGATGAGACTAATCCACGATTCCCACGTCAATTCCACGCTTGCACGAGTTTTTACTTCACAGTCAGACGGAACCCTGTATAATCGTCCAAATGAGAGTAGGAAAAAAAACCGCGCCCCATTTCGTGACTCGTCTACATTTGGCCGGCGCGAAACGAAATGTCTCACAATGATGCACTATCGAAAATTATCCGGAAGAGGACGGAGGAGCGACAATAACGAGTGAGTGAAATCAGCACATTTGGCGCTGTATGAATTTCGTAATGTAATCAAGTCTCGCATCTTCCGAAAGAAGGAAGCTTCCGAAAGCATAATCTTTATGGCGTATCTACAATCAGGGTAAGGAGAGAATTGGAGAGAAACGTCGGTGGTTGCATGTCGTACGCGGATGCCCCGATGAACGCGCCATGGACTATTCATGAGGAACGTCAGGTCGAAATTGGGACAGCCCGAGAGTCCGCGATTCGAAACGGCAGCGAGGAATGGATTGACCCCGATCGCGCGAGAGCGATTTTTGCGCGAGAGAAGCACCGGAGCGTGCATCGACCCTGCGACGATCTGTCGTTGCCGCATGTTTCCTTCCCCGACGATTCTGTTGGAGTATTTAAAAATTTGGCTGCACGAAAAGAAAAGAACAATTTTAATGAAATATCTGAAAATTCGACTAGATACAGATCTGAAGATAATTTTGTTGGATCATTAAAATAATTTTGTAAAAATATCAAGCATAACGAGTAATACTGTACAAAATTTTAATATTCTAGTAACTAGTTTGAACGTCTTACATCATTACTTTGATGGACCGACAAAATTGTTTTCAGATCTGTATCTTATAATTAAAATTTTAGATACTTCAGTAAAACTATTTTCGTGTAGGTACACTGAAAGAAAAGATTGACTGAATATGGCATAGCATTCTTAATTGGCTGTAGCAGCCAATTAAAAATGTTATGCCATATTTTACCATCTAAATTGCTGCAGCAGCTAATCTTCTCTTTCAGTATACAGATCTGAAAAGAATTTTTGGACCATCAAAATAATTATATGGGACGCTCAAATTGCATTGTTAACTTTATAATGTCAAATTATACCCAATTTGAGTTACTTTTAACCAATTTTGTCAGTCGCCACTACTTCTATTCAATACATCGTTAATTTTATTGAAACGGTGGAATTAAACAATTTCACTGAAATAAAATTATTAAATTTGATTCAAATTTAATTTATTACTTTCTAAGTATTGTACATTAATATGGTCGATTTTTACTCTGAGACATGGAGTTTAAAAATAAAAAAATGTTATTTAATTTAAGGGATTGGGTTACCATTGTTCCTTTAATATTTAGCATGGTTAGAATATCAAAACTTTTCGTAGCATTAATCAACATGCTTGAGATGCTACACTGAAAAAAGAGTTTAGTATAAAGCCACTAAATGTTTAGTAAAACAATGTCAATTAAATGATTAACATGACTAAAAATTATTTTAATTTCCTAAATATTTTTAGTAGGTATTATCAATATTTAGGAAAATAAAGTATTTTTTGTTTATATAAACTTTAATAGCTATTACCTAACCTTTTCAGTGTATGATCCATCAAAATTATTTTTTAATCTATATCTAGCTAAATTTTTAGCTAAATTCTTCAAACAAAATCGTTCCTTTCGTGCGCGTTTCTTTTCCTAGGGCGCGTTCAGATTCCCACCCGAGTACTCTCTAGGTATCTTTTTATTCTTTTTTAACATTCGGTGAATAGCAAGAATGAAATAAATCTGAATGGCATTCAGGTGGAAATCTGAACATAGCCCTACGTTTCCGCGATGCGGCTGCAGCGGATGCACCAAGTTCTACCGATCGAACTCGCAACGACGACCGAGTCCGTCAATGTCGCTTCGTTAACGTCGTCGTCGCCGTCGCCGAACGTCGCCACGCCGCGTCGCGCCGCACCGCGACAGAATCGTTCGATTCTGTTATATTTCCTCTCGAATCGAACCGGAAGTAAGAGAGACGACGTGATTCTCTCCGTTTCTTGTATTATTCAACCATTTGCAATCTGTTTTATTTTTTCAGAATCACTACCGTATAGCGACACTTTTATTATTCAGTGACATTTATTGTCTAGTTAAAAATTTACGATTTTCCTTGTGATAACTAAAATTTTACTTGCAACAACAGCATATTCAAATAGTTAGACTTTCTTGTATCAAGTATGAACAAAGTAAGTCATCACGTTGTCACAGATGTGTCATTGAAATTTATCAATATTTCTCGTTAATCAAAGTGATTCATATATATATATATATAATAGTAGTATTCGTTTTCTTCTTTCACCGAATATAAAGGAAAATAAACAAAGTGTCAATAAAATCTATTGAAGCTTGTTATAATCGAAGAGTTGCAATAGAAATTTCTCGCGTAGAATATAAAAGGACTGAAAGCTAAGCGACGAAGAAAAGCTATGGATTTAGTTCCCATTTTCACTTTAGTGGTATCTGTCGTTTCATTGAAACCGATTAATACTTTTCGATAATCAAAATCACTCGTAAAATAGCATCGTTCACGACGATGATTCACGCTTAAGTCAACGCACTGGAAAGCAAAGTTGGAGGAAAAAAAAAAGAAAGAGAGAATATAGCAAGTGTTATTTTTCTGCACAATGAATACGTTCCTCCAACGATTAATCAACTTCTTCCTTCTCTCCCGTTTCCCTTTCAAGCATTCGCCCGCGTCATTCACAAAGTACGGGGACATGAAAGAATCCCAAGGATTTTTTTCCCGAAGGACACAGCAGTTCGGTTTCGTACTTCCTGCACCCGCCTGACGCACTGGAGAAACCTGACGAATCGAACGAGAAACGGAGCGAAAAAAAAACACCGAAAAAGATGTAAAGAGGTACACGGAAAGTTATAGCGTAGCCTTTCGCGAAGTACGGAGGATATTACGGATTCGCCGCACCAGTTTCATTTTGGCACTGCTCGACATGCACATCTCTCGCTTACGCTCGCGTCGTATCGACCCCTCGACCCCGTCGTCTCTGCCCACTCCGAAATCCGATTCGGAGCAGCGGGACTCTCCGATCGAAGAGCGACTCCCGGCGACTCGTGCGGCCCGAACAAAGGATCACACCCAGGCAGGCGAGCGACGACCTGCCCGCGATGTATCCTTACGATTTCACGGACTAGGCGTCAACCAGCGATCCGGAGGAGGCGTCGTCGGAATCGACGGTCCGCCGCCATCTCGGCGAGCTCGCACTGTCTCTCTTTCTCTCCTCTTTCCTCTCTCTCTCTCTCTCTCTCTCTCTCTCTCTCTCTCTCTCTCTCTCTCTCTCTCTCTCCCATCTTTCTTTACCAGCGGGACAACCTTTCTCTCGGTCGCGACTTTTCGCACTCGGCGATTCCACGAGCCGCATCAACCGCAAATCGATGAGGAAACGCACGCGACTCCAGATTATTTTTACACAAAAGCGGGCACTCACACCGGGATGACGCGCGTACTGTCAACCGCGCGCGTGAGCGCGACGCGTGCACGTCAACGACTACACGCGCACTCGCGCTGCATCGAGGTTGCGCTCACTTCGAATTACGCTCGTTCACGCACTCACGCGTACACGCGCCCGCGCCCGCCCGTGCGCGCGCGCGCGGTTCTACGCTCGCAGCCGCAGCTCGTGCATCGTTGCGTTGCGGGTCCCTCTCGTATATCCGGCGTACCATCGGGGGTACTGTACGAGGGCAAAGCGTGAATCTTGCTCGTTGTTCGAAATATTTATATCGGAATTTCCATTTTTTTTTTCGAGGAACACTCGCTGCATCCACTTGCTCCCGTATGCGTGTCTTACAACGTTCTTCCGCTTGTCTTTTCTCCAAGTGGATTTTCGACCAGCAAAGGATCACACTGATCACAGTACCATGAATATCAAGTGTCAAGTCTCCACGAGTACATGAAGACACCACTTCTTGGCCTAACAATGTTACACGGCCGAGAGATCCGAGATGCACGTGCGTCCGACGCGGACTCGATACTCCGTTCTCGTTGTCGTATCCCGGCTGACGATGACAACTTGCGGCGGTGGCGACGACGACGACGACGACGACGACGACGACGAGCAGACCGGCTGCTGGCGTGCCGATGCAGCGTGCTCGCCGCGGCCGACTCGAGCGGGCACTTTTCCTCTCTCTCTTTCTCACTCTCTCACTCACTCTCTCACTCACTCACTCACTCACTCACTCACTCACTTGGCTGCCGCGTGCTGAAAAATCGGGGAAAATCGATTGTCGAGACCAGGCGCGGCGTCGACCGAAACGCCGTAGCAGCTGCTCCCGCTTTCTCTCTTTCTCCCTCCCCCTCTTCTCTCTCTCTCTCTTTCTCTCTCTCTCCTCTTTCTCACTCTTCCCTAATCTCTCTCCTCGTCTCTCCTCGGTCTTTCTCTGCAGTCGGCTTCCTCTGTCGCACGGTCACCGGCTGTCACGATCCCCACTTCTTCTCCTTCCTCCCGTGTTCGTTCCGCGTCTCTCTCGCACGAGGGAGATCCTCTTTCTCTCTCTTGGACCTTTGAATCAGCTGCCTCTGGCCTCTTTCTTTATCTTCTGTTTTCCTTTCCCTCTCTCTTTCGCTCCTCCTCATTCTCATCAGTAAGCTTATAAAATAGTCTCGTTGGAAACTCCTTATAAATTGGCAGAATAGACTTTAGAAAAATACTAAATTTGTATTGAATGTGGAGAAACGTTTCTGGGAAATTCCCAAGCGTATTCGCGATGTTCCGTGCATCATCTAGCAGTCTAGATTATGGGAACACTCCCTTCGGGAATGGAGCGCTCCCGACGTTCGAGAAGCGTTTCTATCGTAGACGAGAATGCAGCGGCAGCTAGAAAGTTGACGGTAAATACGCAGAGCGATGACGATGATTCAGGATATAACGATGAAAACGATGAATCACCAGCGGCAGATTTAAACAGGCTATATAATGCATTCTAAATGCGTTAGAAACAAGAAATGAAACTTCATTCTGCGCAGACTTTTTACGCGGTCGTTTTTTCTCGGAGAAAATTATTTCAAAATTCTATCTTAACATTTCAATTACAAATCGTAAATATTTGGATAGATACGTTCGTAATCCCGTACGAATTGCCGCGATGCGATAAGAAAGGTCCCGAAGTCTAAGTCTAGCCGAGGGCAATGCGAGTTCTCTGCTTAATAATTAACACAAATGTTAATACAAACGATATTGTGAACAAGCAAACATTCACCTTCGTAACTACGTAGAACTCTCGTATTGCAGCTGCAGCTAAACCAGCTTTCCGTTGAATACCTTGTTACGAACGATACCCGCGTTCTGCTTTACCGTGCTTGGGTATATACGGTATTCTGTATATCTGCTTTATACTCGGAGAGAATTTCCTAATTTAATTTCGTACTCAGATTTATCGTTTCAATTTCTGCCAAGTCTCGTGGAAAATCACGCGATGACAGCTCGATTTTTTATCTCCCCCTCCCCTCTCGCCACTTACCTCCTTCATCGGTCATCACCGTCACGGTCGACGCAGGTCCGTGACCCTCGGGGTTGAATACCTGCAGGGAGACGAGGTACTGCGTGAAGGTATCCAAATTGTGAATACTGTGATTCTGAAAAAGAAAAAACATGTTTTTTTTCTTTTTTCCCCTTCTCACATAACAAATAGCGTACTAAGATGAAGTGTCACGCTACTTACGTCGACAGCAGGATCACGAATGTAAACGTTTTTCATTTCTTCATCCGCTTTCTCGCGTCGCCGGTACCCGATGCGATACCCAAGGAACTCGCCGTGTATGGTGTCGCGACTCGGTGGCTTCCACGCCAGATAAATAGACGTCGCTGAGGTATTATGTGCCGCCGTGATGGTTGGTTTTCCTTCTGGTACTGCAAATAATCATATATATTGTACGTAAATCCTTCCAATCCTAAACTTCGGGGGAGGAAACGGGATCCCAAAAATAGAGATAAGAGAAAAACTAATCCTGAAAAAGTATTATACATCGCGCGCTTGAGATAAGTATTACGTTCGCGTTTATGAATACAATACGTATCTCGTTACACGAGGAAATTCGCGCGACTTCGAGTGGCTCATCTAAATATCGTATATGTTTATTCCATGCGAGAACAGATTGTTTTATCCCTTCGGGAAATCCCGATGAAGCTTCACGGTTCTCTCTCTTCTTGTCCCTCGCTCTCTCTCTCTCGTATTATTATTTCTGTTATTTTCACTAATATCTATAGTTCTTCATTTTATTTCTGTAATGTATTATTTTTGTGTTATTTTGTATTATTTTTATTATTCTTTATTGTTTGCAGCTCTTCATGTTTATTTTTGTAATGTATTATATCTTCTATTTTTTATGTTCTTTTTGTACGTTTGTTGCGTTGCTCTCTGCTTTGCCTTGTATTTAAAATTTTTAAAGAGGGCTTGCTCTAGAATTAAAATAAATGTTTACTCAATCAATCAATCAAGCAATCAACCAATCTCTCTCTCTCTCCCCCCCTCTCTCTTTAAAATATTATTATTTTTGCTTCTTTTGTTATTATTTTCATTATTACTCCTTATTATCTATAGCTCTTCATTTCATTTGTAATGTATTATTTCTTCTACTTTTTACATTTTCTTTTGTTTTGTACTTTTGTTGCATTACTGTCTGTTTTGTCTTAAAGTTCTTAGAGGGCTTGTCCTAAAACTAAAATAAATACTCAATCAATCAATCAATCAATTAATCAATAAATTTTTCTCTTTCTTCCTTTCATCAATCGAAACATTTAAATTAAACGTTAAATACTATATACACTATAGAAATCCATCATTTTTCCATTGAAAAAAAACTGATTTTAAAGAACAACGTAATATGATATACCGTAAAAATAATATTTAAAGTTGTTGCGGAACGCAGTGTTCGATGGCCGGAAATCGATAGTTGTGATTGCGTCGAACACGAATAAATATGTAATTCTCCTTCCCCTCTTCCCCCCTCCCTTTCCAGGCGAGCAGAGAAAAATTAATAATATTTGATCAACAATCATGGATATAAATGTTCAAACTCTTGGAAATTTCAAGTTTTTCCCATGTTTATGGAGGAGCGCGATATAAAATTTCACAGATATTCGTACGTGTTGTTGACGCACGCGCGAATGTATTTTACGCTCGACATAGAATGTATATTTCCGACAAAATCATTCGATCTATGTTAACAATATCTCTTTATATATGTACGCGCGATCGTTTACTAGCATACGTACCGTTTATTGATCTCCCTCTCTCGTGGAATTGTTTTCGAAATCGGACATTTTTAATTCCGCGTTTCCGCGTGCATACGAACCGCATCTAAATCCGCATATCGCAATCCACATACGCGCGGTAAATTGATATCTTTTTCCATGTCGTTACATATAGAAAAATGAGTCGATGGAGCGACCGAATTTTTTCGCACCCAAAAAAATATATATTCGTTTCATATTGTAAATTTTTGCCGTTATTAAATACCGTTTTCTTCGCGCGCGACGCGTTTCATACATCCGAGAAGCACCGCGCGGCTATTCAATCTCCATGACGTCGACCAAAATGCACGGGTGTGAGCCGCTAAAAAATGGTCGTGTAATAATTTTAATGCTGGTGTAATTTGTTTCAGGTTGCCTTATCGTGAAGGCAAGGCAGGTGAGGCTCGTTACGGCAGACGACCCAAGTTCGAAATAATTAGCATCCGCGTGTCACTTTTTGAAACACCCCCGTCGCGCTGTCGCGATATCGCGTCGGCACGTCGGCGTCGGCGTCGGCCGACTCGGCCGCGGAGGATGAGAAATTATCGCAGAAATTATACCGAGACATTTAATGCGCGTCGTGCGTCAGTGGCCGCTCAGTTAACCTGACCGACCCATCCGTCGTGTTTAATGCCGGTGAAAACGTTAATTGCACGATAACGAAGCGATTAATTGTGCGAGGACGATCGTACGAAGCGTCAGCGTCGTAATTATCAGTTATTTTATTAATTAATATTTAATTACCCTCTACCTAACAATCTATCTTTATATTTGTAAACAAATAGGAAAACTGATCGTTAATTTATGATTCCAAGGAAGAAGAGTATTAAATTAATTATATCTTTACAATTATTTCTGCAAGCAAAAAAATATATTAATATGTTACATAAGGTAAAATTGCTATTGATAAAAATGTTCTACTTAATTGTTAGAAAAGAGGATAATATGTGACGTACAACGATAAGCTGACAAGCGAATTGAGTATTAGTATAGAAATAAGTGATAAGTCGCTTAGATAGCCTCCGCCCCTTCACTTACGTTGGGCAATTTAGCGCCGCGATAAATGCAAGCTGCACTTTTTACCGGTGCTAAATCTGCGTTAACTTATTATTACCCCGTCGGCGTGTTTATGACGATAGCGTCGGTTTTATACTTCCGTGATATATTATCGAAGTACCAATTTCGCTGTAAGCGCTGAAACGCTTAATCGTGACAAACCGTTCGCGTAAACGTTGCTAATATTGTTCTCGAAATCTACGTATCGGCGTAATAGCGCTGTAAGTACACGAGCGTACATATTACATAGCTTAGCGTGCGAAATTACGCTATCCCGATCGAAGTTGGCGCTTTATGTAATGTATCCCTTTCTCTCCCTCGTAATTAAACTGTAATTATTAATTTTTTTCTTAATACATTCTCGTTGCACTTTTACAGGTAAAACAGGTAAAACAGGTGGGTTCGTGTCGAACTCGACTAACTTGAGTAAACGAACGACAAGGGCGCAAAAATTGGGCCGCATTGTCGGATACGACACGATCGAAGAATCGCGGTCTGATTTGGTGCTTTCGGACGATTCATCATTTAACCGGGACGCGACAAAGTATTGTCGTTATGTAATATCAAGGTGGGGAAAATAAATTACCTCGGTCACACTGTACTATAGAGATTCTTCGGGTTCCCATCGCTACGTCGAAACGTGACTCGCGGAAAGGCGCCTTTATTGCATCTGCTGAGTCCCTCTACTACTTTATCAACCCCGTCGGAATCGAAAATAGTTCGCACAGCAGGCAGAAGCTACCGCTCTTTCCCGATTCTCGAGACGACTTCCGCGAATGAACTTACTTAGGATCCCGACCCATCGGATGTTGCGGCAGCAACAATGCGATTCACTTCTTTTCCTTCTCTATCTCTCTTTCTCTCTGTCAGTCTCTTGTTCGATTTTTAGCGAGAAAGGCTTCGTTCCCGTTTATTTCA